TTAAATATGTTTATATATAATATAAATTATATAAATATAGATATATACATGTAAATACATGTAAATATTTTCAAAATATTTACTGTATGAGTGTGTATTTATATATACATAATAAATATACACAGTGCACACACAAATATTATGTAAACAAAAACTTTTATTTTGGATGTGATTAATCGCGATTAATCATTTGACAGTACTAATATACGTATATATATATATATATATATGTGTACATGTAAAATTAAAAGCCATTTTCAAAATGTTAATAAATATTATAATAGTTATAGATATTGTATAGCCTATTATAACATTTTAAGCAAAATCAAAGTGCCAACTTGTTTTACGCAGCAGCTGTTTAGTTTAAAGGACTGCATTGGAGGACAGCAAAACAAGCATTTAGTTAACCTTTCACTTAAAACCTCACTGTTATTGAGATACAGCTTTTGTGACAACGAGCCCTGATATAGGTTTAATGAGTATTTATCTGGCACAAAAACTAAATACAACTACAACTAGAAAACACCCTGATTCGAACAAAATACTTCACTATGAAAGAAGATGAAAATGCAGTTCAAGGACTTCTGCTTGGGGACTCCAATGAATGGAGTTGTTTTTTTTAAACCATTTCATTTGCATGAACCATCCGAATGACACAATTATATAAAACGAATCATCCGTCTCAATGTTTCATACGAGAGAGAGGGGAAATTTTAGGAGAATTTCGTTATATTCTCTCAGCTAAAGCTGCAGGCGCAATGCAATCCGATGTGTCAGAATGTGTCACGCTGCGTGGCTACTTGTCGGAAAATGTGGGCTGTTACCGGACGAGCTACATTATTATGAAAACTAAAGTTAGTAGCCTTGCTATTTTTAGCTAGTTACAGCGAAGGACATGACAATGTGTAGCAGGCAAAGTTAACAAGACCCAAAAGGGAGGCAACCATGTTGAACATTTCACCATCACATCACAAAACTACAACCTTTTTCATGATTTTCAACTTCAAAACTAGGTATATAATGAATCAATTAAGATGACATTTGGAGCTAGCATGTTATTTCCATTGAGGATTATGGTTTATGCATAGCTTCCTCTATCATTACAGCTCTGTCTGCCTTAGTAAAAAGAACAGCTGACATTTTCAGTGAACACACAGGCGTTCAATAATTCAGTGGCCACAGAAGGCGAACAGTGATCCAAACACACACAACAATTCCATTTTATTGGAGCTGACTCGGTTTTATTGCTTGGCAAAATTTGGTGTGGGAGTCGGCAGGAGCAGTTATTCATACAGGCTTTGCCACGAATGGAAAGGTGTGTGTGAAAAACTGCGACGAGGCACATAAGAGAAAAAACGTATTCAACAGAGCACAGATATGAAATCTATTCTGAGTGACAGAAGAAGAACTGAACCTTAGAGATAGAGAGAGCGCAGACGTTTGTTAGCTGTTTGTGATCAAATTGCTGGAACCCGATTCCACTTGACATTGACTGAGAATTAGTTTTATCAAACGAAACTCGAAACAACTTCTCCATGCAAGAGAAGAAAGAAACCTCATCTCTTGTCTCTTTTGTCAAAGCTGGCAGTGCAATATATTTTCCTTGATTAATTTGCCAGAGTTTGAGCTTGTGGTACCAATAAATAAATAAATATATAAAAAGTCTATTTTTGGTTTATTATTAGCATCTATTTCAGTTTTTTTTAATGGCTATTTTACACAAAAAGACTGCCGACTGCCTTTTCCAACCTTCAATTAGAGATGTTATTAAAGCTCAGTGCAAAAATACCATGAAGCCTTATTAAACAGCCTGAGAGAGAGAGAGAGAGAGAGAGAGAGAGAGAGAGAGAGAGAGAATTTTCAAGCATCTTTATTTAAGAAAAAAGATTAGTTATATAAAAACACAAAAAATCAATTGTTATAATCTTGGATTTAATGAATGCTGCAGTCATTGTCTGACATGCACCCAAAATGTCCAAACGTGATCCATAGATCAGGGGTTCCTTCAACAGCCAGAATAAAGATGGTGTAGAACTAGTTCTTTTCACTTGAAAGAGGTCCCATACTTTAAAAAGGTTCCTGTAAAACTCCGGCATCCTGGATGTGTTGACTGTTTTGGGATCTAACAAGAACAAAGACTTATCCAAACATAGTTCCTCAGCAGTCTTTAAAATCATTATGGCCACTGGCCTCCAGCTTAAGTTCTCTGGGCCAGTAAGGAATCGCTGTATAAACTGTAAGCGAAAAGCTGCAGTCCTACTTTGTAAATGTACAAGTCCTTGTCCTCCTTCTTCCTTTGGTAAGTACAATACATTATGGGGTAACCAATGCATTCCCCCCCCCAAAAAAAAAAATCTATTAAAATTGATTGGATTTTCGCAAGTAAATATGCAGGTGGTTCAATACAAGCCAGTCGGTGCCATAAAGAAGAGGCCACCAAATTATTAATAATGAGGGTGCGTCCTCTATATGATAAATTCGTTACAATCCATTTCCATTTCATTAAACAACCTTTTAGTTTTTCAATTAATCCCTCCCAATTTTTTTGAACAATAATTTTATCTCGTAAAAACACTCCTAAATATTTTAAACCATCTTTTTTCCAGGTTAACCCATTTGGGAGTGTTGGTACCCCTCTTTCCCACTTTCCTACTAACACTGCTTTGCTTTTACCCCAGTTAATTCTTGCTGAAGAGATAATTTCAAAATCCCTTAATGTTTTTAATAACATATCCACATTATTTTTTCTTATTAAGTATTATGACAACATCATCAGCATATGCTGAGACATAAAGTGCTTTTACAGGCTTGCACAAATACCCCTTCTAAAACTCCTCAATTTATTTAAAAGTGGTTCAATTTCCAACGTTTAAAGTATCCCAGACAGAGAACAGCCCTGTCTTTCCCCACGACACACTTTAAAAGGAGCACATAAGCCACCCTTAACTCTCAATACACTCTCAATGTCATTGTATAAAACTTTTATATACCCAATAAAATCAGAACTAAAACCAAATGCATATAAAGTTTTCCACAGATAGTCGTCATGTTCTACACCAGGGGTCTCCAACCTTTTTTACACCATGGACCGGTTACATTTGGAAAATATTCTGCGGACCGGCTTGGGGGGTTATATATATATAACAGTACTAATATACGTATATATATATATATATATATGTGTACATGTAAAATTAAAAGCCATTTTCAAAATGTTAATAAATATTATAATAGTTATAGATATTGTATAGCCTATTATAACATTTTAAGCAAAATCAAAGTGCCAACTTGTTTTACGCAGCAGCTGTTTAGTTTAAAGGACTGCATTGGAGGACAGCAAAACAAGCATTTAGTTAACCTTTCACTTAAAACCTCACTGTTATTGAGATACAGCTTTTGTGACAACGAGCCCTGATATAGGTTTAATGAGTATTTATCTGGCACAAAAACTAAATACAACTACAACTAGAAAACACCCTGATTCGAACAAAATACTTCACTACGAAAGAAGATGAAAATGCAGTTCAAGGACTTCTGCTTGGGGACTCCAATGAATGGAGTTGTTTTTTTTAAACCATTTCATTTGCATGAACCATCCGAATGACACAATTATATAAAACGAATCATCCGTCTCAATGTTTCATACGAGAGAGAGGGGAAATTTTAGGAGAATTTCGTTATATTCTCTCAGCTAAAGCTGCAGGCGCAATGCAATCCGATGTGTCAGAATGTGTCACGCTGCGTGGCTACTTGTCGGAAAATGTGGGCTGTTACCGGACGAGCTACATTATTATGAAAACTAAAGTTAGTAGCCTTGCTATTTTTAGCTAGTTACAGCGAAGGACATGACAATGTGTAGCAGGCAAAGTTAACAAGACCCAAAAGGGAGGCAACCATGTTGAACATTTCACCATCACATCACAAAACTACAACCTTTTTCATGATTTTCAACTTCAAAACTAGGTATATAATGAATCAATTAAGATGACATTTGGAGCTAGCATGTTATTTCCATTGAGGATTATGGTTTATGCATAGCTTCCTCTATCATTACAGCTCTGTCTGCCTTAGTAAAAAGAACAGCTGACATTTTCAGTGAACACACAGGCGTTCAATAATTCAGTGGCCACAGAAGGCGAACAGTGATCCAAACACACACAACAATTCCATTTTATTGGAGCTGACTCGGTTTTATTGCTTGGCAAAATTTGGTGTGGGAGTCGGCAGGAGCAGTTATTCATACAGGCTTTGCCACGAATGGAAAGGTGTGTGTGAAAAACTGCGACGAGGCACATAAGAGAAAAAACGTATTCAACAGAGCACAGATATGAAATCTATTCTGAGTGACAGAAGAAGAACTGAACCTTAGAGATAGAGAGAGCGCAGACGTTTGTTAGCTGTTTGTGATCAAATTGCTGGAACCCGATTCCACTTGACATTGACTGAGAATTAGTTTTATCAAACGAAACTCGAAACAACTTCTCCATGCAAGAGAAGAAAGAAACCTCATCTCTTGTCTCTTTTGTCAAAGCTGGCAGTGCAATATATTTTCCTTGATTAATTTGCCAGAGTTTGAGCTTGTGGTACCAATAAATAAATAAATATATAAAAAGTCTATTTTTGGTTTATTATTAGCATCTATTTCAGTTTTTTTTAATGGCTATTTTACACAAAAAGACTGCCGACTGCCTTTTCCAACCTTCAATTAGAGATGTTATTAAAGCTCAGTGCAAAAATACCATGAAGCCTTATTAAACAGCCTTGGTAATGTAATAAATTAAACTTTGGCTTGCTCATTTTCAGCCCACAGTTTTAATGTGAAAATATCCTGTACTGTACATAACTGACAATACTAACTAACAATAGAACTGAACAAGATTTAGCATTTGCTTGCTTTTCACAGCTGTAATTGAAAATCTTCTGCGCTTTCCAGAAACACTTACAATTTGATATGAAGGTCACGTCCTACAAGCTTTTAGTTTGGTGGGCTGAACCAGACAATGCTTCATACTAATGTTGTCACAATACCGAAATTTCAGTAGTCATAACTAATTCCAGTAAGGGTACATTTACACAACAGCAATGTAGTGTTTTTGAAAAGTTTCACGTACAGATGACAAGTTCTAGACTAGAACACTGTATAATGCATGCCAGGCCAGCAGTTGTCAGTCGATGTCATTTTATAAAGAAACACTACACGTCTGCACACATACCTATAGACTGAAGGTGTTATTTGCATGCGCATGACTGCACCGATTTCACAAACTCGTTTACATTGGGTGATACTGGCATCGTTATCAATTAAATGCAAGTCAGTGGGTACCGGCACTTTGAGTGTCAAACAAAGCATATACAGGCAAGACAAAATGAACACCCGTGGCTCCTGATGATAATATTGAGGTCTTATGAAGCGAAATGATCAGTCTGTGCAAGAAACCGAGCATTATTACCAACATGTTGGGGGTAACGCATAACAAGTGACGTGAGTTACGTAATCAGTAACTAGTAACGCATTACTTTTAAATTTACAATGAAATATCTGAGTTACTTTTTCAAGTAAGTAACGCCAGTTACTTTGTTTTCCCGTTTATTGACTCGCATCTCTCCTGTCCTCATGTTGAGAGCAATCGGGAGTAATTGCAAAGACACGTCATTCAGCCTGAAGGTTATTCATTTCACTTTTGGTGCGAAAGGACCTTTACAGTTGCCAAAAATATAACTTTTGGGTTTTTTTTGTTATTAAAAATAAATAAGCAAGCCCAGCCCAGGTAACAGAAAGTAATGCAAAAGTAACATACTTTCCAGAAAAAATGGGATGGTGCGTGTACAGTACACGCGTATTATTATTCTGGTGACGGAATTTGCGTCACGCGCACTGTACATGGTTCCTTTTTATGGTTTTCCTTCTATAAAAATTTTGCCTCGTCTGATATGCTTTTTTGACTCTCAACTGCTGACTTGCACTTTATGAATCACCCAAGGACCAAGGTTTCAGCTAAAAATCTTCATTACTATTCTGCTGAAGAAAGAAAGGCCTGAGGGTGAGAAAATTAACATCAAATGTTCCTTTTTGGATGAACTATTCCTTTAATTAAGACTGTCCACCACAACTTTATTAGCCAACAAATGGACATGACAACAGTTAAGTTACAAAACAGATAAAGCCAGATAAAGTGTAAAGAAAAATATTTCAGAGGTGTTATTTCATGTTTCAAAAAAATGCATTTTCAGAATATCCATTGCCGTGACAGTGGACGCGAAAAGAAAAGCACATTGAAATATATGGCAAAGTGAAAAAGCACAAGAGCCCAGCAGAAAGCTAAAGGCAGTCGCACACAGCGCTAAAGGCCATGGTGACAGTGAGCAGTGTTTTTCCATGTCTGCTAGGCTCGCAGGTTCTGTCACTGTGAGGAGCCGTAATATCAGGGCCTCATTTTTGCCAAGGTTTCAGCTTGGCCTTTGCCTCTCCATCCAGTAATTGGGAGCAGTATTCCAAGACACTGCCTGACTACACGGTGCAATTTAAGAGACATAGGACAGACACAGCATGACTTCCTGTTCTAAGATTTAAAACCATGGCAGCTTTTGTTAGACATCTAAAGACAAAGGTAAAAGGTACGCTTTTCCTTGATTTTTAAAATTGTATTATGCAGCTAATTCATTTGAATGGATTTAGTTTAGGGGCCTCGGTGGTCTCAGACCAACCGTTTGAAAAATAATGATTCAGTCCAAGCACCACATTTGCATCTTATATTTGTTTTTAGTTGTTTCTTTGTTCCAATCTTCTTATTTTTTCCACTACCATTTTCATAAGTATAAAAGTCAGTTCTAAATTGACTGGAAATACAGTTTGTATAAGAACAAAAGCTCCAAGCCTTGATTTATTAGTCTCCAACATGGCAGTAACACCATATACTGGAAGATTTAGGTCATATCAAAGTCTATAACTTGAAAGTGGTTTTCTATGTCTCTTGGGGAGCCTTCAGTCCCGTTGCATACATCCTATATAGATCATGGTCCATATACAGCTCTTTTTGAGCCATTATTTTGTGTGTGTGTGTGTGCCTGTTTTTCTATTCTGGTGGGGACTTGTAGGACAATAGAATATATGGTCTGTACAGTATAAAAACCATTACGCCTATGGAGAGTCCCCACAAGGATAGCAAACCAGACATGTGTGTGTGTGTGTGTGTGTGTGTGGCTTTTATAACTAAAAAAATCACAAACATACTGTCATGTCTAGGCGGATGATGGTTTTAATTGAAGCATTATATTTTGAAGCAGCTGTTTTTGCACTGATGCAAGACTTAAAATTAATTGGTATGCATATTCCTGTCATTTGATTTGAGTTAAATTGTAATAATATTTCACAATATTACTGTTTTTACTGTATTTTTGATCCAATAAATGACGCCCTGGTGAGAGTCATTAACAAAAATAAAAACATCTTATCAACCCCAAACTTTTGAATGGTAGTTGAACTGAGAAATGACTACATGTGTGGTTCATCAAGTCCATGGATACTAACACAATGTCGAGCGGAAGCAATTCCAGCTCAAGTAACGGGTAACATACAGGAGGAGAGTTTCCTTCACAATCCATTTCTGGAAGCACGTCCATGATAATCAGTTGAGTTTCAGAAAGGCTAAGATTCTGAAACATGACACTCCCTACTGGTTAAAGCTCTCAGAAGGGAGGAGAGGAGCAGACAGAAAATCCAGTCAATGGGCTGCTAATGATTTTAACCAGTGAGTGCTGTGAACACTTTTTTTTTTTTTTTTTTTGCAGTGGCGGAAACGGGCTTCCATAATTATCAGTCTCCACAACAACAAAAAAAAAAACCTCAAACTGAAATAGAAGAAAACAATACTGCTTAGTGAGGGGGAAACAGTGAGATTTTAGGTTCAAATGGAAAGTGCATATAAATATATTAACCACTTTTTCACCTTAACTAGTTAATTTTTATGTTTCATATAGTATATTCATACAGCATATGTAGTCTTTTTATGGTTTTAGTTTTAGTTAACTATAATAACCCCTTGGGCCATGTACGGTCACATAATAAAAATTCACAGTTTACTAGATTAATGGAGTGGCACATCTTACCCCACCCTCACCTACTTATGATTTACTCAGAATTACAGGTTTTCAGCTCAATCAGTTTAGCACAAAAACATGCTCTGCTCCAGTTCTGCACTCTGCTCTAATACGTGCTCCCATCCACATCAGGGGGGACAAATAAAAAAAAGACAATGTTCATGAGAAAATAATGAACCTAATTAAAAGGAAAGTGCCTCTGATGATGGGAAGAAAAAACTTTGGGGAGATCAAATTAAAATTCCAGCTCAGAGGGAAGTCTACAGGCAGAGAAGGAGTCACTGAAATATTAAGATCTCTGTCATAAAAGTGGGGAGACATAAGACATACCCACGCCGAAAAAAAGACAAAGACAGGAATATATAGGAAGTGGGAATGAGTACCAGGTGCGGGCTAATAGAGCGCGCCGCCCCGCGAGTGAGCGCTGATTGCTCCACCATGTGTGTCTGAAACTGACAGGACCAAAACAACCACCACGTGCAAATGACAACGACAGCGCACAGGTGAGAGGCAGAAAGGAGTCGGAGAAGGTACCGGTACTGACAGGGAAGCACCTCGATCAGTAAAGGAGCTCGGGAAGGGTGATGGCACGGCTTCTTCAATGCACCTAACGGCTGGTCTAAAATAGGAATAAAAAGTGTGCTACTGTTGAAAAGGAGTGAATCTGAGCCACAAAATGCAGCTCTGTGATTTTCAGTATTGTCACAGACTGACTGCAATAGAAAACAATGTTAATGCAGGTGAGGAAACATCACAAACACTTAATATTCAAGCGCATCTGAGACTTTGTACACAAAGCATTAGGATCCGAAAGCTGATGCATGCTGATTTGTTTGGCTGTTTACATGCACTTAATTTCTGAACCCGTAGGTTTGTGTCATTACACTAATTAGGTAGAAGTTACCTTTTTTAATCATTTATATCAAGGTATGAACAGCAAGTGCATGTGAAGCCTTCATCACTGAAGCTGAATTAAAGATTGATTAGAAGAAGGGCAACAATGCACTTCAGACTATGAACAATTCCTCAATGGATATTTCATGTTTCATATTTCAGGGATAGTATGAGTAAGACAAACCTAGACGGATAAAAAGCCAGTTTGTATCCTACTGATTACAGCGGATAAAGTATTAATCAAGAGAATCCTTTTCAATCTTTAATAGGGTAAAGGCTGTGGAACAAATGAATTATTAACGTAGTGTAATTCTGCATATTTATGGTCCCCGCTCTTCTGTCACTATCATATCAGATACGCTCTTTTAATATAGATCCAAAGTCAAGTTTGTGCATGCATTAAAATGAGCAAACGGAATGCCTCAAGCTTTTAAAAGATGACACAATAATGAGAAACCAATCAGTCAATAGCCACGTGATATTTAGGCAATAGAACACAAGAAGAAGTATAACAATACAGTAGAAAGTAAAGAAGTAATGTAAACCTCAGACAGACCACCTAACATTCTATTCACTGAAAATCTGACGCATTCTGTAAGATCTGATTGACTGGCTTTACAGGGAAAAGTCATATTCCAGTGGTACTGCATTGTTACAACGAACACTAATACATTTAATCCATGTTTAAAAACAGTTAAAACAATTAAATAATAAATTAATAAATCACTAAATATTTATATTTAACCCTTGTTGTGTTCAAAACACTATAACAACACCTTTGAAAGTGAAAGTGAAAGTGACGTGACATGTGGCCAAGTATGGTGACCCATACTTGGAATTAGTGCTCTGCATTTATCCCATCCAAAGTGCACACACACAGCAGTGAACACACACACACACACACCATGAACACACACCCGGAGCAGTGGGCAGCCATTTATGCTTTGGTGCTTCCGGTCAAAAATGTCCGGCCATTTAAAATAGCTTGTAAACCGCTTGTTATATTCTCAATAAATATTGGTTTCAATCTTTTTGTCAAATTGTTTTCTTTCAATTAGGACTGGTTTTGTTTTTATTTGTTGTTTGCATTGGTTGTAGGCCTCATTAAGGTTGAGTTTATGCACCTCAGATTTAGATCATTTTGTCAATATTATATAAAATATGAAAAAAATTGCACTGTTTATCACACTAGTGTGCTCTAATGTATAACCAGGAAGTTTGTTTTGAAAAGCTTTTATTTTGTACAAAATTGCAAAAAAAATTGCAAGAAAAATTACACAATCTCTTGATATGCTATAGTATCACCTAATATTGGATACAATCTTTTTGTCGACTAGTTTTCTTTCAGTTAGGACTGGTTCTGTATTTATTTTTTTTAAACTGACTGATCGTAGGCCTCATTGATCTGATCGATAACGAATGAAAGCCTGTAATACTCAAAACAGTTTGTTTGTGTACATAAACTTGTGTGTGTTTGTGTGAGTATGTGGTAGCACAAGTATGCATGCATCCACACACCCGAGACCTTTATATTTGCAGGCACAGACGTACATGTGTGAACATGATTAACATGCTTCCGAACACTAAATATTTATCTTCTTTTTGATCAATGAATGGTCATTTTTGACCAATATAAGCTCAGATCAATGAGGCCTACGATCAGTCAGTTTAAAAAATAAATACAAAACCAGTCCTAATTGAAAGAAAAATAGTAGACAAAAAGATTGAATCCAATATTTGGTGATAATAAAACACGACAAGAGATTTATAAGCTATTTTTTTAGGCCAGTCATTTTTGACCGGAAACACCACAAGTGTTATTTTGTTCTTGTTTTTTTTTTTTTACAAGATATAAGCATTTCAAAACAAATTTCCTGGTTGAACATTAGAGCACACTAGTGTGAAAAACAGCACACTTATTTTTCATATTTTATATAATATTTATATAAAATATTTATATATTTACAAACACAGATTTTGGCTTCACAATACATTAACTGATGGACTGGAGTGGTGTGGATTACTTTTGTGGATCAACAATTATTGTGATGTTTTCATCAGCTGTTTGAACTTTCATTCTGACGGCACCCATTCACTTGCAGAGGATCCACTGGTGAGCAAGTGGTCCAATGATACATTTCTCCAAATCTGTTCCCATGAAGAAACAAACTCATCTACAGCTTAGATGACCGGCAAATTTAAATTTTTGGGTGCACTATTTCTTAAATTCAGATTTAAAATATTAGATACATATACCTGTAACAACACATAATAAATAAATACATCATTTTTAAATGCATCATTCAAATTGTATAAAGCATTTACAAAATGTTTTTCTTTATCCATTTATCCTTCGTAACTTTACAGTTGAACCACTGATGTCACACGGACTACTTTGTCGATCATCTTGGTACTTTTCTGGACCTTGAACGTGGTAGTTACCTTGCTGTCTATGGGAGGATCAGAGAGCCCTCAGATTTCATCAAAAATATCTTAAATTGTGTTCCGAAGATGAACGAAGGTCTTACGGGTTTCGAACAACACGAGGGTGAGTAATTAATGACAGAATTTTCATTTTTGGGTGAACTAACCCTTTAATTTGAATGTAATGTTTTGCCCCGATTTTATTTTTTTATAAATTGAGGAATTTGATTTTGATTAGAAATATTACCAAACGTTAGAATTAGACACTTTGACAATATGCCAATGTTAACAGTAAAGACAAAACAATGATCCAACCGCATGTCAGCAAACGTGATTAACCGCTCACGTGACTCGCTCAGTGAAGGACAAGCAATCAAAGCAATCAAATAAAAACCTGTAAAGAACTACTGTGTATGTCTGAAATTTCATGTTTGCATCATGGGAACAGCTGCTGTTCATTGTTTTTACAGAACATTTATAGTTAATAATGGTCGACTGGTGTTTTACCTTCAGTCATTTTGAATTTGTAATACCTTGAATTTTGAGTTGTTTTTTTTTAAAGCATTTTCCTTGTATTATTTCTGACCATATAATATATATGTATAAGACAATAGTATATATGTATAGTATATATGTATAAGACAAGTTTGTACAATATGTAGTTGTAGTTCATGCATCTTTTTTGCAAAGATATTTAACAAGTGATTTGTTTAACATTTACATCATGTGTGGTGCACTTGAAATAGAAATTAGTAATCCACAAAAACTAGAGGGTTAATAAAGAAAAAGTTACTTGAATCATGTTGTAGTTACATTTTCAAGTTGACTAGTTAAAAGTCGTAAAAATCGAGAATCGGTCAAACGTTCTGAAAAAAATCGAGATTTAATTTTTTTTGCCAAATCGCCCAGCCCTACATTGACGAGAACAAAAATGTGTTTCAGTTGCTTTACATGTTGGTCAGAAAGACTTTTCCTATCTAAGTGGGCAATTCACAGCTAAAGTAATCTGGCAAAGTGGACCAGACATCATGCCAGTAGTCAAAAGTCTAACTAAGCAAGATAAAAAGAAACGTAAACCGAAGAAACTCAAAGTATTATTCGAAATATATGTTTTAAGCATCTATAATTCCTTTTTTCCAAGTAGATTCTCAAATTATTTGATGCTTTGCAGCATTTTCCACAGGTCAAGGTAGCAATCCGTATGACAGACTAATGGGTAAAACCAGTGCTGTATCATAAATAATTATGACAAGAAGAACAAAATGCTGGAAGAACAAAGGACTTATTTACCAGCTGAAGGAAATGCAAGGATGGAATGGACTCCACTGCAGGCCTGAGGGAAACATTAACATGGATATATGCACACAGATCTAGCGCATTTGTATGGGACCAACGGGAAACATGGAAACTTGGTCACGTAAACATAAGCTCATTTGTTCCCAGATGGGTACGAGTGGAGAGCCAGCAGTATTTGCTCTGATCATGCCCACAGTGGCGTGACAACGTTCCACGCGGCTACACACCGAAAGGCTATCAATTCTTCGTCAGTATGAAGCAGATCCATTGAGTGTATGACAGCTGCCTACTCACCATCTGCTTAGCCAGCGAATGGCTGATAAGTCGGTGAATCATGTAAACGTAAGCACTGTGTGGCCATCCATCATGAAACAGCGTCATGTCAGGACCTAGTCATCATGATCATGCCTTCAGAGCTTCATCTTGACATGTTCACAAAGACTTTAGTGTTATTTCACGTTCTTGGGAAATAAAACTGAATTCCTTTTCTATTCCCAATGAAGGCTAAGTTGAATGCAATCTTCTTGAGTCATGAACCAACCAGAAGTGTTTAACTCCTTCCCCATCATTGATGGATTTTTCCGTCATTTATGAGACAGCGCTTCCTTGCCATGGACTGAAGGAAGCGCTACAAAGATACAGCTAAAGATACAACTTCTATCTTTATGCAAATGTCCGCTAATGGGATGCACCGCCTGATACAGATGCATATAGCAGACAAGCATCTAGTAGCAACTAACAATATAGCGACTTCCAGAAATGTCATCACTGTCAGTGTGAACAGGGTTTTAAATGTCATAACCAATGGCCATATCACAAAACCCTCCTTCTTCAGGCAGAGCTACATACGCATCTAATATAATAAGTGTAAGATATAGGGGCCATGAAACATTCGTCAGTGGACTTGTTTGCTGTGCAGGGGGCTAAATTGCTGCTTGGCTTCCTGTATCGATCCAGTTCATGCAACAGTGTAATGAATAAGTTACCATGTGAAGCTGCTCTCGGGGAGGCCGGATTTTCTTGGATTTACCTTTATGGACCAATTCTCCAGCAGGGCCCAAAGAACCAAAGACATAAAATATATGAGCTATGTAATCTGATCCTCCTTTCAGAGTTGAAGAGATATCTGTAGCGCCAGACCCAACAGATATTGATAATGTGGGGATCTTGGGATTTGATGGCATATTTCAGGCTGAGGCTGTTTTAAGAAACAACAAATGAAAGTATTGGTTTCATACATTGATGATAACAGCATGGTACTTGTTGACCATACGTTTTTGTGTTGTTGTTTTTTTCGGACATGAACTGGCTGGGATTTCTAAATTGCCTGAAATGTCCAGGTTTTGGCTTTGTTTGCTTATTGTTTTCATACTTGCTGAAGGTAATAATTCAAATTAACCAACAGCGTGCAGGCATTGTACATAATCAACCAATCGAGAAGGTAGGATCTACAGAGAACGGTCAAAGCTATGCATAAACTTAGTGTAAAAACATGATAATACCATGGTATTTTATGTTAGTGTAGCTGCTAAGCATAAACAGCATATCAATATCTATTTACTATATCTGAATATAATAATTTATTCAAATACTAAAGTATAATATATAAAAACTGCAGCTGAAATACAGTCTTTAAAGAGCAAATCTCCAGGGTCTCCTTGCTAGAATCTGGATCGAAAGCCTTGATATGGATTTAAAATTTTCATTAGGACATATTACTACAGCTACCTATTTGAAGGGCCTTTGAATTGGGACAGCCTTCGTCAAGCCTCTGTGATGCATTCGGTCTTTGAAGGATGCAGCCTCTGAATTGGGACAGCTATTGGTGTACTGTCAACGTGTCACATTGTAACATTTGCAATTACAATTCCTCAATTTTAAAAAATACAATTGTGCCAAAACATTGCAATCAAACTAACCAATAAAATCGCCCCGGCCCTACCTTTAATGTCTAACACTTTATGCCGACATCTGCTGTTTCACCAACCATTCAGACTTGTGTGAACAACTCCAGTGAGTAGCGAGAGGGAATATATCTCATGGGTGTCAGTGAATATGCAACAGCACTAGGGTGTGTGTGCGGGTCAGGAAGGGCAGCGGAGTCTTTGTGCTTTCAGCTGGATCTGATTGAATTCCCTCAGTCACTGAGTGAAACGCATTACTGAATGGCAGCAGACGTGAGCGGGGTCACCACCGTCTGCCTGCCTTTAATCCATCTAACGCTCTCCATGCACTGCCTCCTCATTACTGCACCAGAGCCTGTGGCAGTGCTAATGGAAACACACACACACACACACACACAGACACACCGAGTCAAGGAAACCCACTGCATACGGCGGTACCTTTCTTCCTTTGTCATATATTATGGCTCTGTTGTGAGTTTTGTTCCCATTACAGAGTGCTACCCATAAATCACAGAGATAGTTCTGTAGTACAGTATTTTTCAATAGTTGTTTAATGAGGGGTTCTCAGATGTATAATTAATTGTCTAAACATTATAATAATTAGTCCATCAATCAAAATGGGAAAAAAATAATGGTGCCACCAAATCAAGCCCTAAATTAACACAAAATTATATATAAAATAAATAAAAGCACTTCCATTAATCATATCGATGTTTTGACGTGAATCGCTAAAAAACAAACTTTTAATCTATATACACATATTCAGATTTTCCATTGCAACCCATTTCATTAACTTTTCATGAATTATAAATATTTTAATAACACTGTGTACAAGGACCTCTACAGGTCTGCAAGCTAAATCAGATGCCGGGTGACTGTCGCAGCGAGTGGGCTAGTCTTTACTGCGAGCACCGTAATTAATTGTCGACGCAGAGTG